CTTTTTATCATATTTTTTTCACAAATTTACCATTTATGAGAAAAGTACTGAAAATTTAATTTATATAAAAATTTTATATTCATAATATATAAATTATATTTTTAAATCTTTTCTATACCTATGAATGCCACTACTGTTAATTGGTAACTGATGATGACTACTACTTGGAGCATTACTGTTACTATCTGCACTTTGTGGACTGTTTGGGCTATCTCCATTTAAAGGAGCAGGACTTGGATTTCGTTGACTTGTAATTTGTTCAGGATAAGGAATTGATATTTCTATATGAGGTGTTAGGAAGTGCATTGGCGGAGTCGCATTATCTGCAGAACGATTTCCAGTACTGTCTCCACTATCTGAAAGAGGAGCTGAAGGCATAGCTTCGCCTGGAGCACAGCTATTCATCAATGAACTTGAACTATTTGGTCCTGGATTATCTAGATCTATTCCATGTCTAAAAAAATAATAAATATAAATAATTATTTAATAAAATAAAAAATATAAGATTATTAAAAATTAATCACTAACCTATTAAAAAAATGTAACCTGAGGCACTTCATAGTTGCTGCACGATAATTGCATAAAGGACAAGATTTAACCATATCATGTTGACCAACATGTTCATTTTGAAAATGAGCTCTCATAGCAATTTGTCTTTGAAATCCTCGATTACAAATTGGACAATGATATGGCAAAGTTTTAGAATGTGTTGTAAAATGTTCTGCCAAGTGATCCTTGCGAAAAAATCTTTTTTGGCATACACGACACTCATATGGTTTCACACCAGTATGTCTCATCTATAAACATTCATTTTTACATTTTTATTAATATTTTAAAATTTGAAAATTATTTTTAATTTTCAAATTTCAATATTTATATTAAAAGAAACTTCATACCTTATGTCGTCTCATGTTAGCTCCATTGGAAAATTGCATATTACATACATCACATTCAAACATTTTCCTATGAGAACGAATTCCAGGATGCGTTTCTTCTCCATCTCCATCATTTTCAGTAGCTTCTATGTTTTCTGTGCTTTCTCCTGGCTCAGCATTAGCCAAACATTGATCTTGATGAGCGCAGAATGCTGTCTTATTTATAGTCTCATAATTTTCACACCTTTCACACCTGTCCACACGTTATGGATCCTTTGATACGCTATTTAAGACCTTGATTATCTAAACGTTTATTGGAATTTTTAAATACAAAAAATTAATTACATGAAGATGACAGACCTAAAAGCTGGTACAGCACCATCACCACTATCATAATTAGTATTTAAGGCAGCTTCATTATCTAAATCCAAGTTTTCTTCATCTCTTGGATTTGAGGATTCTCCAACATCGGCGTGCGAACAGGAATGAGAATCTACCTCGTTTTCCCCGCCGCCAGCATCAACCCCATCTGACATGATATTGAACCCTCCAAATACTGTGTTGTTGAACCTGCACCATTCGTTGTTAATTACCTGCAATATTAAACAAATATATTTCAATTTAGCTTTACTTTGATAATATGAACTTTCAAATCTTAAATTTTCAATATAATATACATAATAACTTTAGCATAATATACATTAAAAAATTTATATAAGCATACATAATATTCAATTTCATTCACAATTTAATTCAATAATATAAAAGTTTGTATTAATAAAACAATGCCAATAATAAACAATAAAATTGTAATTGTAATTAATGAAATTATAAGAAACAAAAAAATATAATAAATATAATAACTCGATTAAGTTTCCAAAATCTCGATGTTTACCTGTCAGTTTCGATCGAGGGTTTGAGGATGATGAGACGATTGGTCAATCCTGAGAGTAAGAGAAAGAGAGAAAAAGAGAAAAAGAGGGGGAGAATACTAGGACATGGAGTGAGAGAGATTCCGGTAAAGCGCAATGCCAGAGTACACTGCACTTTGTCCCAGTTTCGGGGGAATCCGTCACTGGTGACGTAGTTTTCCGCCGATCTGGCTAGATTTGTCACCGTATGGTCGACATCATTCTATGAAAAAAAAGAAATCTATAATTTTTACTTAATTTTCTTATTTAAATTATGCATAACCAACCATTTCCAATTTAATCTCATTTTAATTTGTTCTTTGTTCAAAAATACACAACACCTTTGCGAACCACTGCACACTGCTTTTTTACTACCTGCTTCTCAATAATCGATTAATCGAAACAATCGAATTCACGATATTCGATTTCATAGTTTTCGATCTCTCAAATCGGTAATATCTGTCGATTTCTTATATATATTGATATAAATCTGTATTGAACAAATGAATGTATTTACTACTGAGAGATATCTATATTTTAATTAAATATATATACTATCGAATAAATAATGCCATATGAAAATACGTGCACACATAAGATTGATTATATATTTTTGTTTTAAATGAAGAAAAAATATATTATCTCAATATAAAATCATGAAAATGTTATGAAAATAATAAAAATTTTTATATAATTTTAATTCTGATATATCTAATATACTACTTTTTATAATGTACTGTACATATTAATAATATATTACTTTTATCTAATTAATATATTTTTAAGAAGTATATATAATTATATTATTAAATTTTATAAATTAATTCAATATTAATTCAGTGTTTTATTATTAACAATGTAAAATTATAATTTTTGAATCATTTTATCTTATATGTTTTATCAAATCTGGATTTATTATAATGTATACTGCTTACATCATATCTTGCAAAATTGTTGTACCTTAATATATAATATCTTTCAATATTTAAAAAAAATATTTAAATGCATCAAACTTGATACTTCAAATTGATAAACAAACGATGCTTTTACATTCTATTTATTGATTTGAAAACATTTCATCAAGGCTTTTTCACATATATATTAATGAAAATTATAGCATGAATAAAGTCAAATATTTCGGAAATAATATGATTTAGAATAAATTATTTCAATATTATATTTAATATTTACTATTTTATTGAAATTGAACATAAAAAATTGGACATTTTATTTAAAAAAACAAAATTGATTTTTAAATCTTTACATCCATCTATAAAAAAAACCATTGTCATTGCATTGTGTATTTCTTTTTCTGATTATTTTTTTTTTTTTTAGAAAACCATTATTATCTTTATATATATATATACACATATATATATTAAAATAGTGAAAATTTCAGGTTAATAGAACTTATGGGACATAATATATAGAATATTTGAAATAATAAGAATTTTAGATTATCAGAATTTGAGACACAACGTATAGATAGAATAATTTTAAAAAATATAATTTTTTTTATAAAATTTTTTCTATATAATTTTATATATATATAATATTATATATATTATATAATATTATATAACAATGAATTTATATAATGTTCAATATGGAAAAAAGTAATAACTTTTTCACAATAGAATTGAAAATTTATCATTATATTAAAATTATATTAAAATTTATCATATATTTTATATTATAAAATTTATTCATTCTTAATAATCTTAATATTTAAAATCTATGCCTATTTTGAAGTACATATAAAATATCTTATAAAACATATAGTTTCTTATAAAATATATTTATATATAATCTCTGTTAAAGAATGTCTTTTGAATTTTTGGATATAATTATCTCCTAAATTATTTACTGTTCCAAAAAAAAAATGATTTAAATAGAACTTATTTCAAGAGAAAATATAATTTAATATAAGTAGTTTCGATATAGCTGATTTTTATGTTTTAATATTAAAAGTATAAAGAATATATATAATAATTATTTATTTTCTTAAATGGAATTATATTTTTTAATATATGAATCAATAGAATTGCACATTTTTTTTTTTAAAGAATCTATTAAATCATTTATAAAAACCTATTATATCATAAAAAATTATTAAAAGATAATAACTTTATTATCTCATAAAGAAAATTAACTTATTTTTTAATATTTTTTAATATGATATCTGAGAAAGATATAAAACAGTTTTTTATGTTCATTTGCTTTATGATTTATGTTATATATAGATTAAAAAGTTCATTATTAAATATTTAAAAAAATTATTAAAAATATTTAAATAAATAAAAATAAACAATTTTCATTATAAAAATTAACATTATAAAAATTTATATATATGTATATATAGTTATA